GTTTAAATCTCATTAAAGTTGTTGAAGCAAGTAGGATAAGTCATCCAGATGGAAGTAATTGCACATCAGGAAAGCTGGTGCAGTTTTCCACTCAGATTACAGCTGGGTCAAAATTTGACACTTTCAATCCACTGTCTCAAGTATTACTACTGATCATGTTTTGCCACATACTATGAGAAAGAAACTCCTTTGTGTCTTACAACTTCTCTAATCATGTTTTCCTAGTCACAAAGGCCATGAGGCTGGATGACTATTTCTCAAAAGTGCTAATCATGGTAAATTTTTCTAGTCCAAACATTTCTCAACATGAATTTCATGTCATGTTTCTCTATCAAGTCCAAAGAGCGGACAAAAACGTGTTCGACAACAGGAAACATCCAAAAGAAGAGCCACAAGGAAACCATGGATCATAATGACAAAGAAATTACCAAAAGATACAAAAATCAAAATTTACCTAGGAAAATTAATTAAGGATCAATATATAATAAAAAGAAAAACATTTGAGACCAAATATTGTGCTACCTTAGAACCACTATCCACAAAAAGTTGGAGAAGACCAGAAATTTTCATAGGATGTGTATGCATGCTATACTTTCCTGGAGATTTATAGAAGGCATCAAGTCTTAAAAGTCATGATCGATAATATTTCAGTCAGAAATTTTACATGTCTGGATGCATCAAACGCAGAAACTCATAAATTTACTCCCATCACGTGAAATGAGGAAACAAAAAGTCCACATATATTTTGCAATTTTCACATAACATGACCTAAACAGCATGATTGATGGTTTAAAGCAAGAAGTCGACTAATGATCAAAAAGTTCAAGAAGTAAATAAATATTAATACATAGACAGAGGAAAAATCTTAACCTACAGTTAAGACATTGACTGGTGAATACATGCCCTTAACACCACAATAGATTGTTCAAGAGAACAACAAGAAGTTAACCAGTCAATACATTGGAGGAGGGAATACCTAAATTTACTATAAATGGCCTGTAAATATATGCCTTAAGACACCATTATAGATTTATAAATAAAAAAAATTACGTCAATGAAAAGAAAAGAAGTTAACTATTTTCAAAGAATTCAGATGTCTAAAAACAGTCCAGAGATGGAATAAGCGGCAGGAAATATCAGCCCAATAATCCATAAGAATTTTCTTTACAGTCCATCCATAAACTTTCTGGCATTTCACTAAAATGATATCAAATTTTTATTAGGGAAAACTCCTGTCATTGGCTTCATGAAAAAAGGAAAATATATCCATCAAATGAGTAATAACGCAAACACTAAAAGGTGAAAAAAATATGCAAGAACTTACGGATGTCAAAGGCTCTGAACCCAAATTATTAACAAGAACAAGAATTGCATTTGAGTACTTGAAAACTCCATTTATCATTTAGATCTCAGCATAAGAAAGGGACACTTATAGCCAATGAAGAAAACCTGAAAACCTAGATTCACCCACTTTTCCGTTTGCCTTAGAGAAGGAATTCACAGAAAATTTTATGTAGAGATTTTATTTATGACCTTAATCAGTTTCATCGTAGGCTTAAAAAGAAAGGGAAATACCTTATCGGGTTTGAAAAAGTTGTCATGGATCTGAGCCTGCGATCTCAAGGGAGAAATGCTCTTCTCCACTACCATGACTGAACAGAGAGAGAGAGAGAGGGAGAGAGAGAGAGAGAGAGAGAGAATCGAAGGGAGAGGA